TGTAGAACAACTGGAGGGAAAAGATTTGCAAAATATCTGAGTTTGGGACACTAGTGGCCGACCGGCCACTTTAGTATCTGACAACCCACTTTTCTGGACTGTCATCCACTTGTGGTGGTCGGTCGTCCACTGATGGTGGCCGGCCGGCCACCAAAAATCTGCTTTCAAGCCCGACTTCAAACGAGCATATCTCCTTTGTCTGGACTTCTTTACAGGTCATTCTTGTGTCTAAATTGAAGCCCCGGAAGTAATATTTCCAATGGTGGCAGCCTCACATAAAAATTCCAAGTGTGAAAAAAGTTATGTTCATTTTAGTGAAGACTGCTCAGTTTCGGTCCTAATCGGATTGATGCCCAACTTCAACCAACCATATCTCCCCCATCTGGACTTGGCTTTAGAATATTCTTGAGTGTAAAATGAAGCCCCGGAAGTCTTCTTTCCAACGGTGGTGACCTCATAGCTGAAATCCAAGTATACAAAAAGATAGGCCTGATTTAGGGAGGGCCGCTTGACTCTCTCTTAACGATTCATGCTCATCTTCTTTCCCAACTAGGTTTCTTCCCTCTCCTCCAATTTTCTTCAACCCCAAACCCCTATAAGGTGTTTTGAAATATTTTTCAAAGAGTTCACCTCTCTTTCATGCATTTCTACTCTATCCTTGCTCAGTTTACCGAAAAGCACAATTTTAACAAAATGCGAGCCTCGGAACATCGTATGAACTTTTTCAAAAATGTTTTGAAAGAGAGGGTTTTAAGGTCTAAAATCATTTTGGTCCAAATGGTTTTGGTCCACAAATGGGGTATGAAGTTTGGGATTTGAAGTTCCTTTTGTCGAAGAAATCAAACCTTTGCACTGCACAACTTTCACCACCAAGTAAACAATCAGTAGCACCCAAGGCTTAAGGGTGGTCAAAAATGGGGTGTCTACAGTATAACATGCAAGAAAATGGCATAAAAGATTATATACAGCATACAAAATCCACCAAAAATATATTAAAAATAGCATTCTATAGCATACAAAATTATGTCGTGAAAAGTGTAATGACCTTCTACGACTTTGCAAAAAGGTTAATCTTTGTTTATGTCCCAATCTTTTTAGTCTTCTTTTTTAGGATACTAAAACCTCAATTTATCTGGGTTTATTGATTTTTTTTCAAATTTTTCTAGGTTTGTGTCCTTCAATCTTAAAATATCAATTTCTTGATATCTTTTTCATACTTTGATTTTTTGGTGAGTTCATTTTGTGTGCTAGGTTTTGATTGTTTTGCAGAAAAATGTAGATGAGGCAGTGGACAAGCTTAAATCAAGAGGAATTTAAGTGTTTGGAGTGGTTTGTCATGTGTCTGTAGCTCAACAAAGGAAGAATCTGGTAGAAAGACTATTCAGGTGAGCAAACCCATCTTAGTTATTATCTTCTGAGAGTAGCTAAACAAAGGGAAAAGTGGAAACCTGGGCTTTGAGAGAGATGAAAATTGATGAACCATTATGAGATACAGAGAAGTTAGTTTCTAATTGCTAAACCATTTGGCAAAAATTGATGAAAATTGTTGAACCATTTGGCGAGATGACCTCTTTTTAGAGAAAGAAATAGAGAGATGGAGCTTTAATTTATACGGTGTTTAATTTGTATATAAATATTCACTAAGTTTGTTATCTTACCATACAACATAACATGCCATGTATAGGACACAAAACAATATACATACTATCAACCGTGCTTCCATAAGAATTTAATTTAATATTCACTCAGTTTGTTATCCTTTCAATTGTTATGCTTTTCTTAATGTGGGCACTGATACATGTTTAGGAATGTAGGATTGGGTGTACTATGAGTTTCGCCATGGACTACAAGATTTGTCATGTTTTCAAAAAATAAGAAATTTTTTTACCATATTTGTCATGCCATCAGTTTCGGTATGAACTACCAAATTTGTTCCTGCACGTGGGAGATTTTTTTCCCCCTACATGTGAATAAGTGGATATTGACCCAAGGGCACAACAAGATGAATGATTTGATGCTCATGGATTTTCTTTGTTATGTTTCATTGTTTTATTGGTTTAAATGCATTCATAATTTCTAAAGAAGAGGCTAATTTTGCCTCTGAATTAATTTATTTTTTCATTTTTCAGTTCAGAAAATTACTTGGAGAGATGCAAAATATAGTCGAAATTATTTCTAAAGAAGAGGCAAATTTTGCCTCTGAATTAATTTGTGTTTTTCTCAGGTTAGAAATGGCTTAGAGAGATGCAAAATATGGTCCAAGAATTCTAGGACTTTGTGCTTCAAGTTTTTAAAATTTTGTAATAGATGTAATCACAGTAATTTCTTTTATTATTAATTCCTTTGTATATACTTTTGAATATTCAACTTTTATTTATGAAATATATGATGTTATTCCATTCAATATGTGATTGTGATTCAAAGGATAGTATATAGTGCATATTACATTCTTCAAATGCGTACAAAAATAATATTGATTATTCTTCAAATACATCAAACCTTTTTTTTATCATTAACTGTGATGAGAAATGCATATAACGTGTGTGATCTTATCTCATTTTTAATCACATGTTTTATTTGTGATCTAAATGTTTATTATCACAAGTTTTATTAGTTATACATTACACATAAAAAGTGTGATCTAAATATTAATTATCACACATAAAAAGTGTGATGTAAATATTTATTATCACACGTATAACGTGTCATGAAATCATCTTTTGATGGCACTCAAAACGTGACTTTTTAATCACACCCAAAGATAACACTTCGATAGTGATTAAATAACATACATCTCATACAAAAAGTGATTTATTTATGATTTTATAGTAGTGTTTCTTCACAACTTCACAAATTTTTTCATAAATTTAAAATCGAAATACAATCTTAAGATTATCCAAGAAATTTCTGATATCCATTCATTTAAATTGTTTTTAGAAATGTTAAATTGTTTTTAGAAATGTTAAAGTTAGTTGTGCAATCTCTAATGGACCCTAAAAAGTGGATGAATATATCTTATAAGCTTAAAGCTAAACTAAAATGATATCATTTTAGGATGTATAGTTTAAAATAAAAACATAATATTTTAATGTCATTTTATTTTAATTTTAATGTTATGTTGTTGAATAATTTATTTCACTGACATGTTTTACTATGGTAAAAATCATAACAAAATCATTATTAAAAAAATTGCAATACTAAAAAGTTGCAAAATAAGAGAGGTACGAACTACTTACGGATCAAAGATTGTTGATTGAATTAGGTAGTTGGTCAGAAGAAAATTAGTTTGAGAAGAAAAATTATCCATTGCTCCGGCTTCTTTCCAATTTGAATATGGACTAAAAAATGTTGTTTGAGCACTCAGATTGTCTATCCATTAACATATTAAATATTGGGTCAAGTTTTTTATTTGGATCTAATTGTGAATTTGTAAGTAAGTAGACAAAATCTTAATTATTAATTTATAAAAAGTGTCAATGTGACAAACATCTATTACTTGTACTAAACTAAACTCCAGTTTGAATATCCGGATTGGTTGTGGAATTCGGACATTCAAATTGAAGGGAACAACATGACACATTAAGATCAGTTGACTTACAAATAACTGCCATATTCTTTTTTAATGTTTATAACAATCATTTAGGCTTCAGTTAATAGTTTATTGTATTGGTAGAGAAAATACAACAATATAGTACACCAAGCTATCACAATTGAAAAAAGTAAACCCCATTGTTGATTGTATTTCCATGATTCTTTTCTTGCTTATGAACAACATTTCCAATCAATACTCTCAGAATCACCATTTTGCTACTGTAATTAATCACAAAATTCCCACATCTCAATAGAAACAAGTGCTAGACTATACCTCCAGTGTGATCCCTTAGTCGCCATGGAATTGAGGATGCTTTTACCTCCCAACAAGCAAACTTGGCAATATTTTAAAATGGAGTTACACATCATTATTTTCAGTGCAAATTCTCTATCAAGTAGCCAATAATTTTGTCATTCAAAAATGATTAAGAATGAAACAAGGGGAATGGTTTGAGTTGTAACTATCATTATTTTCAGTGCAAATTCTCTATCAAGTAGCCAACAATTTTGTCATTCAAAAATGATTAAGAATGAAACAAGGGGAATGGTTTGAGTTGTAACTTTTAAGATTGCATTTTAGAGTTAAAAAACACATAAAGGCCAAGTTTGACTGAAATCCAACTTAAAAGCAACTACATAAAAAATAGAACAAATCCTTAAAGGTTGTGAGAAAAGAAACAAAGAGTCATGATATGCAACTCTTATTTGACTTGTGCTTTAAGAAAACTAAACAACATAAGTAAAATCTTTTGAAGTGATCCTGTATAGCTACTATCCGGATGCACATGGACTCAAATGCAACAGCTACATGAGACATCCCTTCAAGTGGATGCCATTGCTTTATTGTGCCACTTAATGGAACTGATTTAGTTTTGAAATAAAAACATTAGCAACTCAATAATAGCATATACATAAAAACCATAAAAGATAATTCAACAAAGTAATGCTTCAAAGATAAATTCTACTTACCTAAATGACGCCATTTGTTTTTTTGTTGATTTCTTCCTTTACTGCATCAGTGGGCACTCTTCTTGGACCTTTTCATCTTCTTATATTGTTTTCCTTCAATAATTTTCATTAGGCATTTTGGACTTCGAGTTACAAACATAAGATATCCCATAACCATTCCAAATACAAAGCCGCATCCATACCCCATCACAACAACTTTCCAGTTAAACCCGCTTTCCCAATCTGAATTTTCATCATGTTGTAGTGTTGGTGAAGGTGACAATGGCTGTTGTTCCTCACATATCTTTGATAAGGGGAACCCACATAAGGCCAAGTTCCCATTGTATGAATCATTCCCAAATGTATTAAATTGGTTCCCTTGAGGAATTCGTCCCACTAGTTGGTTGTCTGAAAGATTTAGTACCTCAAGAAACGTAAGACTTGCCAGTTACTACGGAATCTCCCCAACAAACTCGTTTGAGGAAAGGTCCAATGATTCAAGGTTTGTTAACTTTCCAAGTGAAGTTGGGATATGGCTTGTAAGGTTGTTATGAGATAAGTTAAGACCTCGAAGCGAATTAAGCTTCTCAATGGATTTCGGAATCTCTCATTGGAATTTGTTACTTGATAAATCAATGATTGAGAAGACCGTTAAGATTCTTGAATATTCAATTTCATATCCTTTCATCATTACCACCACAGAATCTTGATAATAGTATTCACCCATGTATTTCAATTTCAATTCATGTTCATCCACATTCGTCATAGCTTCAAATTGTTCGATATAGTTTGTTGGCAAAAGCCCAGTGAACTCATTGTAAGATATGTCGATAATTCTCAACTTAGGGAATGGATGATTGCTCTTGGTCTTGAAGGTGCCTATGTGACCATGAAACCTATTAAACCTCAAGACAAGAACCTGTAATTCTGTAAGAGTTTCCAACCACTAGGGGAATGTATCGTTTATCTTATTTTTTCCAAGATCTAGAATTTCCAAGTATTCACAATTGAGCAAAGATCGTGGAACTTGTCCTTCAATTTGGTTGCCATTTAAGTTAAGATTCCTTAGCAAATTGCCTTTGGTAAATGTTGTAGTAAAGGTGCCAGAAAAGCTATTGATCCCTAAATTCAGCACTGAGAGACTGTTGCTCAAGTTTCCCAAACATTGTGGAATTAAGCCACTCAAACTGTTATTAGACAAATCAAGAACTAGAAGTGAACTCAGACTGCAAATCAATGGGGGGATTTCCCCGCTCAGTTTATTGTTTGAGATAGAGAAAACAATTGTGGTGTTAGGTGGAACAGGGAGTGGTCCTTGGAGTAAGTTGGAGTGCAGGTCAATATACCATAGATTCTTCCATGGAAGATGCTCTAAACTTATAAGGAAATTATGAGAAAGATTTAAATTTTGCAATGAATCTTTCCCCACATTGAATAACCATTTTGGAACTTCACCATGAATTTTGTTGGTTGAAAGGTCTAGAGAACGCAATCTAGTTTGTTCTCTCAAGAAGTTTGGGAATTCGCTCAAGTTGTAAGAAGCTAATCATATAGTGTCAAAGGTGGTCAAGGTAGAGTTGACACTGTTGTTGATGTTCAATGAGAGACCATTATATGAGAGATCAAAATAGGACAAATATTTTAGATTAAGCAGCTTATCTAGCTCCACTACACCACTTAAGTTATTGTTACTCAAATTTATAACAACCAGTGAAGGCAGAGCAAACAACAAAGATGGTACTGTACCAGTTAGCTGATTTCTAGAAAGAAACAAGTCAGTAAGTTGGCTCATGTTGCCAAGGGAATCCGGTATTTGTCCATTAAAATTGTTTCCGTCAAGATACAAGCCATTAAGCTTTACAAGGTTTGAAATTGATGAGGGGATTTGACCGCCGACACTGTTATCCGCGAAGCCTAGATTGGTAATTTGTGTAAGGTTCCCAAGAGAAGCTGGAATGGACCCCGAAAAGTTGCAGTTAAAGAGATACAAAATATTCAGGGCTTTAAGATTGCTGATTGAATTAGGCAATTGGCCAAAAAAACTTGTCTCGGAGAGATCAAGAAACTGAAGGGAACTAGTCACATTGAAGTATGGAAGTTTACCTGTGAGGTCCCAATTTGCCCATACGTTGATCTTTCGTAGGTTTGGAAGGTGAAAATTTTTTTCTGGGAATTTCCCACGCAACAATAAGCAAGAGTGAGAGATGTCAAAGAAGATAGATTTAGCAAAGCATGAGGTAAAGGTGAAGAGATATTCAACCAATCAAGGTGTAGTTCTCTTAATTGGGTTAGGTTTCGAAGGATCATATTGAAAGTGTGTTGTTCATAGTAACAATAATAATAATCATTTAAATAAGAGAGATCAAGGGAAATCAATTTGGATAGATGGCCAATTTTTGAAGGAATTCGGCCTGTAAAATTAGAGGAAGAGAGGTTGAGATGGGTCAAACTTGCAAACGAGCCAAAATCAGGTGAAATTGTAGAGAAATTGAAGTCATTGAAGGCAAGATTGAGGCTTTGGAGGTGACAATGGTGGAAGAGGGTGTTGTTGGCTTGGATGGTGTCGTGAAGGTGGCTGCAACTCAGGTGAAGTCCAATCACATGACCATTCGACCAGTCGCACGTGACCCCCGCCCACGAGCAGCAATCTGTACTCTCATTCCAGAACACCATTTTAGGAATATGAGAACCAGATCCACAATATAAAGAGGCATTAGTAGTTATGGTAAACGTTGTTTTAAATTGGAGAAGTGAAAATCTTTGGTCCTCAAGGCAGGTATGGCATGCAGAAGAAGAAGAAGAAGAGGAAGAAGAAGAAGACGAGAAATAGCAGAAGAAATTGATGAAGAAACATAAGCCAACTCATTTTGTTTTCTTTATAGGTGGGAGGATTCAGAGAGATATGAAGGGAGAGTAAGAAGGATAGTAGTTTGATGATAGATGGAGAAGGAATAAATCTATTATTATTCATTCTTATACACACTTCTAAGTCTTACTATAGTGGTGGTGGTCAAGCACGGCAACTATGTAATTTTCTCCATCAGCCATCATGACTTTCAAGTTCACAACAGCAAGTCTCTGTCTTTAATTCCAGTGGTCCCAAAGCTATTAGTAATGGTTTTCCATACACCAAATGGGAAATTATATTGGTAATCTTTACATTTTGTTCCTTGTGTGATTTTTAGTCTGAATAATTTCAATAAGCCCGATTTTGAATCCTTAATTTTAAATTTTGTATTAATTTGGTTCAATTGATAATACTGATTAGGGTTCTTGAAAGAAAATGTTATTGAATTGATTGAAGTTAATTTATTGAATTGAATAAGTTTACAATTTTTCGGTCTATAAAAGCATAACACGGGTCACTCATGTGCCCATTTTTCATAAAAAAAAAAAAAAAACTAGAAGTTGTAATTAATTCAACTAAGTTGAGACAAAATTATAAATTCTGATCAAAATCGAATCCATTGAAATTATAAAAACAAAAATGACATAAAAGTAAAAATATAAAGACTGCTAATATAATTTGTCTAAATTAATTAAAAGTTGGCAATTTTAAGATTGTTTTGCTTTTTTATAGCATAAGTTTAAGATTCATTATTTTTTGTTGTCTAAAAGTTTGAAAAATAAATTTGACATGATATTATAGTAAAAGTCTCGTGATTCACGATTCATTTTATTGAAAAATCAATAATCACATTGGTCACAAAAAATTTACATAGTCCAAAATAAAATAGAACTCAAAATACAAAGACTAGTGGTCCAAATAATTTGCCCACATATATTTTAAGCGTTGATTCTAGTGGTAAGGTTGGTCGTAAATGAAGAAAAAGTTGGAGTTGGTATTAGAAAGCAAGAGTGAATGGAACATTTTGTTAAAGAAATGGAAGACAAACCAACTTTGGGTTGGTGGGATAAAAGGGAGAAATATTTCAAAGTCCTTCAACCAATACAAGGATTAGCCTCTGGCTCTTTATGTCAACTTTAATCAAACCTTTCCCATCATTATGTTATAATTTTTTCCATTTTTATTTTGGTTAATTATTGATCTTATGTACTCATTTTATGATCAAAATTTTCGTTTCATCAGAGTTCGATATGAGATTATAAATGTGAAGAGTCTACTTATAAAACAGTTGTTTAGATTATGGATTTAGATAAAGATTTAAAAAGAAAAAGGGAAAGGAAAATAGAGAAAAAATTTAACTTGTATTTAATTCACATTTTAATTATTATTTTTCTTTCCTTTCCAAATTTCTATCCAAATTTATGATCCAAACACAAGATATGGAGAAAAAATTTACTCTGGGAAATGACATCTTGGTACATTTGGAATGAAAATTGATTGATTTGTATTACATTAGGATTATAAGGGAAATGTTTGGGACCCCCTTTGGGAATGACTCCCACACTCCCAAAGTGATACTGGCCCTCTATGTATATGTGAGGCGAACTCATGTATGTGTGGGGTCCACATCATGAGTGATCCAGATTTGTGAGGGTCTTGTGGAGGTCTCAATCATTACTGTTAGTATAAATTAAGGTAGCTCATAATTTTTAACTCGGGGTGCAACTCAAACAAATTCAGTAAGTTGAGGGTTATCTAAGTAGTGTTGAGTGTTCTCTAACCCCGCCCAAGTCCAACCTCTAACCTAATTTTGTGTGCCCAAGGCTAGTTTGAGCTTAATAAATTGAACTTGGGCTAGGCCTGAATTACCCACAAATTTAAGTTGAATTTTTATAAAACATCCTAACAAGTAACAAAGTAAGAAACATAAGTATCAACTATGAAATAACATCAAAACAAATTAAACATCCTAGCCACATTAATAGTACTAAGAACATTTTCAATGGACTCTTTAAATGAAACTTGTTAGCTATTATACCAATCATCCGTATATTTTAGTCATTCCAATGGACTAACTATTACAATAGTTATTTTAACAAATTTTTTCAAAATTAGCTACATTTGAAGAGTCTTGAGAGGCTCTTTAAACGGTTTGTGTATATAGATAGGTAAAATAAATAGTAACGTTGGAGTACATAAATAAAAAAGAAATTAAGTAAAATAAAGAACATACATTTTTTATATTTTAGCTAATGAAAAATGAAGAGTACGGTTGAAATTGCTCTAAGCGAATATCACTAGGCTAGACTGGCCAATAATCCTAAGTAATAGGCAATAAGTGCACATTACAAACTGTTTGCACTATAAATTATTTTCTGTCAATTGTAGCATAGATTGTGACCAAATTCAATTTTATTAATTGTGGCCTGTCGATCATGGCCAAATCTAATTTTATTGATTGTGGCCTATCAATTTTAGTTTTAAGTGATTATGAGCATATTTTGTTGTTATGATTATTATTATTGTTGTTGTTTTTGTTACTGTTTTTGTGCAGTGTGTAGCAGACGTGGGGCATAAAGGTGGTTGTGAACCCATGATGTGCAAAGAATCCAAGATGAGCAAAGAACTTGGCAACGTGGGTGACTATGGAAGATGTTGCTTACAAAGTGAAGTAGTGGAATATAACTTGATGTGAAAGTGGGCTGCTTTCAGCAGTTACAAAAGGAGGATGGTTTCAAGCCTATAATAGGCCAGGATGGAACAAAGAAACAAGATCTAGAAGTCATCAAACTCATGAGAGTCTTTTTATTTATTTATTTATTATTATTAGGAATATCTTAACTTTTAGTAATAGCTTTCAATAGTTTGTAACATTATAAACTTAAAAGATTTCAATAAAAAAAAATGTATGTGTTTATTTCACTCTTTCGATTGTTAATTATTTCAAAAAAGTACTTGTACTTTTAAGACAATAGAACCTTTACATATTTGTCTGGTTTTCTGTTTGATTGTTTTATTAAAATTATTATTAAATCTCTGTCGATCAAGACTTAACAAAATTTTTACTAACACAAACATAAACTTGAAACAAATGTTGCAATAGTTCATTCACTTCTTTAGTCTCCAATCCTCAATTCCGTCTCCTAGTAATTTGAAGAAGGAAAAAAACAAAGAAAGTCAAAACAATTCAATTAATGCAAATCAAATTGAAATTATAATAATTTATATGTATATTTAATAATTATATATATATATTTAAATTTGTAATTTAGGTTTCAAGTTGTTGAAAATCTTTGTCTACGCCTAGCCTTGAATTTAATTCAGGCTCACTTCATTGCTGCATAAACCTATATTTTAAAAATATATTGTCAAATCCTTAAAAATTCAAGTTGGACACATGTTGCTTAGTTTGGACTGCCTGAGTAGCAACCTTATTTTTAATTGCTTAATTGGATGAATTTAACCCTCTCGCCCTTAACTTTTCCAACAATGTTACATGCACAAAAAAAAAGAAGGGATAAAATTCATTTAATCCCCTTAGTGGTTTAACCGTGAAGCACTTTATCTCCTTTATTTTAAAAAAGTCAATTATCCCCATGTGATTTGGATCGTTTTACAATTTACCTCTTTATCGTCAATATTTCCGTCCAAATAAACGGAGTTCATACCTCACACTCTAGCAATTATGGTCAGACTAATCAATATTCAACCAAATCAATACCCAATTTGATTATATATACACATGTATAAAATTGTGTATAAATAAACCTATATATATATATATATATGTATTAAGGGAAATTCTATGTAATGTGTATATATAAACCTGTGTATGTATGTATATATAGTGAATTAACTCAGTAAAATCCTTTGTGTAAACCTGTGTATATGTAATTAGTTGACATACTTGTTCAAAAGGGTAAAATAGTAAATTTTTAATTTTGTTAATAGAGTTAGGTGTTGCAATTTAGTCCAAAACCATATGAGGGTATCTTATTAAACCACAAAGGATAAAATGAATTTTGCCGGAAAAAAAATCAATATGTACCTCATTTTATTTTGAATTTAATTCCCTCGGCACTTAGAATAAATCTAAGCCATGCATTGATTTTTCTCTACGTATTTCTTTCTGCTAGTTAGACCCAATGCATATTTAGAAAATTTCTATATATACGAGATGAGTTCTTTTTCTTTATTTTTATTTTTTTTTATTTTACCAACAACAAATTTATTAATAAAATGAGTACATAGTGGGGAGAAACAAGAACAAAACCACATATCTCCAACACATAATGGAGCTATACATGGCTATGGTGTCGCAGAAAATGAACATGTGAAACCACTTGTGTTTTAGCATAGTTGGCATGCCTTGGTCAGGTCCATTGTTGCTATGGCCACCAGGTGTTGTGCAACTGGCTGCAAAAGTTACAGTGGCAACGAGGGTGGACACCAATAGAAGAGTGCTGAATCAGTCCTTATAGCTATCTATGTTCACTTGCTCCAGTTGCATAGATGCTTGTTTCTTTTTAGCATTGAGGGTTTTTCTACAGTAAGCTTGTGGTGCACCAGCGGCTTTCAATGCACTCCATGTTAACCGTTGCAAGATAAAAATGTCTCACAAATTTAAGCTATGACCACCTAATGGCTATTGAAACAGCAGGCCATTAAAATTCCTTCCAGTCAATGCTAAATAGTAATTCATAGTAATATGAAAAGGAATGTTCACGCACAGACAACTTTGGAGAACTTCAGCTTTAGCACTACAAGTGAAGAAGCATTTCGAGATTGTATATATGGACTGGCACAAGATTCACAATAGTTACCATTACAAAACATTAATCATGAATAACAATAGATATAGCTTTGCTTGGACCCTATTTTGACATATTAATGTAAGTGGAGTTTGATGCAAATAAAAATAAATAAATAACATGAAGAATCAAGAGCAGACATACCCTCATTTTGTTATGTTTGATTAGGTATCTGAAGTGTAGGGTTATTTAATTAGCTGAGGGCATACCTTTCGAAATGAGGGCAGTCTTTCCATGTAGTATTCAGCAGAATCAAGAGCAGACATACCCTCATTATTCACTGTAAGTCCACTTTTTCATCCCATGTTAGGGTATTAACAATCTTTGGATGCCAATCCATGGTGGCCAAATGCAAGGGTGTGTTTCCATGCTTGTCCCTCATGTTTATAAAGCTTCTCGAGCTCGGGAGCTTGGAGAATGTAACTAAATCCAATTGTTAAGATCGTGATCTAGATAAGCCTACCAACGAACGAACAAAATTGAGACAAAAAACAAAAAGGGTCTAAATATTTTTTGGGTGGGTAAAGGGTCTAAATATTGATGAGTAAAGGAATGAAAAACTAAATAATTTCCACAAGAAGCTCTGGTTATCAATCCAAATGCCAATAATTAACGTAAAGAAACTAAAAATTGAGAGAATACTCTTCCAAAGGCCCACCCCCATATGGACCTCTACTAGTATAAATCCTCTACCCACCAAGCAAGCTGCCATATCTCCCCTCAATCAATCTTCTCCAAAGACTAAGCCTCTTTAGTGTGCATCTCAATAGCCATTTTTCTAATATCGCCTTATTAAATAAGTCCAGCTTCCTAATGCCAACACCTTACTGAAACCTCACTACAAAAATAGATTTCCATTAACTACTATACAATCTTTAAATTCTTTCGATTATTAACCGATTTTTTGAAATTTAGCTGAAATTCCAACCAAACTAATAGACAATATAAGAAAGCCATTATTTTCCAGAATGCCAATTTCACCAAATATTCAGAATTTATAGCCAATTTTTTGCTGTCAGAAGCTTGATCAATTCAAATTCAATCAACCAATCTGAATCTAACTCTTGTGAAACTTGAGTAAATTAGGAAAATTTTAAAGCGATGTTCCCAAACAATCAATTTACCTATGATTTTCCACATAGAATTACAGCAATCTATTAAAAATTACAGCCAAAACAAGAAAACAGAGGCAACCTCTGAAAACTGTACAATTAACATATTAAGAAAATTAAGGGCAGATGGAAGAACTCAAAAATCTTAGAATTCCATTTTTTAAAAATAATTTGGCACCTTCAGACAACATAGTGACCCAAAAAATAAATTCTTCACTTAAAATTGAGGCACCACAAAATAACAACCTCACAATACCTATACCAAAAAACTTGGGGACCTAAGTTACTAAGGTTAGTAACTCACAAGTATTCCTCCAAGATCCTCAGAAGAATATGCATGGTCAAGTTTCCCCTCTCTTTTCTTATACCTGGTGATTATTAAAGGAAGCAACAAAAATAAACAAGTAAATAAATTTATAAAAATTAGAAAAAAAACTCAAAACTGATCTAGCATTGATGTGTGCAACCATATTGACCTTCCTTGGGGCTAAGTAGAGTTGACAACTGTATTAGTCTCTATGGTGACATCGGTATGAACCTCTTGAACATCATCCTTTTCAACAGCTGCAATATGCATACAAAGATGATCCTCATCAAAACATATAATGATATTAAGTGCAATACAAATTCAATTTTATCTTGATGTACCTTCATCCTTGATTTCTGCAGCTTCCTGAAAAAATAAAAAGAAGAGTCAAACAGAAAAATGCAAGAACAATTTTTTTAAAGCTTATTAAATCTAATTCGAAGGATAAATGTGACAATTGCACTTTCAATCTCTTGAGGATGCTGTCAAACTGTGATGTATTGAATGCCCTCATCTACACCAATACCTGTCGTAATTTTGAACAATTATGTCCCAGTACCTATTGAACTGTCAAACTGCTCTATATGTCATGAACTCCTTATTTATGAAAAACTCATCCCACAACAAGGTTAAGCTTATTAGCTCCTTTGATTTAGAAGACAATTAAAATAAATAAACTTTATGTTCTAGGCAACAAAATAGAGCATGAATTTGATGAATAAAGAAAAAATCAGAGGGAAAAAAAAAAAGAAAAAGAAGCTGCAATATCCTGTTTGTTCTTAACTCTGACATATTCTTTGATCCCTTGCTTCTCTTTCCCAAGGCCTTCGACTTCTTCCCATCCCTACAACACAATAATATCTTCACATCATCAACACACAAGTTCTTTTTATCTGTAAATTGTTTTATTTCTCTATTGAAAAACATTCACAGTTGTTAAATTATATCTCCAAATATTCATATCTTAACATTCTTATATAATTCATTGACTATAAATATTACGAGACTTGAGATCATAAAATTTGACTAAACTTGGCCCTCAACCACTAATGTATGATTTCAATTATTGAACAAGATGAACAAAAGCAATTGCTGTATTATCTAACTTTCCAAACACAAAACTTCTGTCATTCAAACATTAAAGAGTCCATAATTTACTTTTATTATTATTATTTTTATTAAAAAAAAGTGCTGATTCTTGGAAAGATCTAAGGAAGCAAAGTTGACTGATCATGTTGGCTACAAAACAGAGGAACTGGCTGCTTAAACTATTTCACAGAAAGTGCTGAAGCAGTTGGCATAAATAAAAATCAAAATAGATGCTTTTTTCCCCTTTTTTTCTTCCCCGCACGAATCTAGTTCTAATTTTTTGAGATGCAAAATAGGCACTCGACCAAAAAAACTTGTCTTCAGGAGGAAAAATGCACATAGACTCATTATGCAACAACTAAGACAGACACTGAGACACCCCTTCAAGTAGATACTATTGCTTTATTGTGCTACTTAAAGTTATGGAGCTAGTTTTGAAATAAAACATAAGTAACTCTAATTTTGCTTATAAATAGAAACCACAAGAGATAATTCAACAAAATAAAGCTTCAAAGATAAATTCCGCTTACCTGATAACACCATTTGATTTTGCTGATTTCTTCCTTTATTGCATCAGTGGGCACCGTTAATAGACCTTTTCACCTTCTTATATTGTTTTCCTTCAACAATTTTCATTAGCCATTCTAGTCTTCGAGTTACAAACATAAGATATCCCATAACCATTCCAAATACAAATACAAATCCGCATCCGCATCCGCATCCGCATCCGCATCCATACCCCATCACTACAACTTGCTAGCTAAATTGGCTTGACTTGTCTGGATTCTCGTCTTGTTGGAATGTTGGTGGAGGTGGCAGTGGCTGTAGTTCCTTACATTTCTTTGATAATGGAATTCCACATAAAGCCAAGTTCCCACTCTATGAATCATTTCCAAATGAATTAACCTGCCTCCCTTGCGAAATTGATCCTGCTAGTTGGTTGTCCAAAAGGTTTAGCACCTCAAGAAACATCAAACTTGTCAATTGCCAAGGAATCTCCCCAACAAGCTTGTTTGAGGAAAGGTTCAATGATTCAAGGTTCGTTAAATTTGCAAGCGAAGTTGGGATATGGGGTTGTTATGAGATAAATTGAGACCTCAAAGTGAATTAAGCTTCGCAATGGATTTCAGAATATCTCCTTGGAAATTATTGCTTGATAAATCAATGATTGAAAAGACCATCAAGATTCTTGAATATTCAATTTCAAATCCTTTCATCACCACCACCACAGAATCTTGATAATATATCTCACCCATCATATTCATCATAGCTTCAAATTTTTCGATATAATTGGTTGGCAAAGGGCTACTGAACTCATTGTAACATATGTCAATAATCCTCAACTTAGTGAAAGGAACTTTACTCTTGGTCTTAAAGGCATCAATGTGACCATGAAACCTATTAAATATCAAGACCAGACCCACAACTCCAGAAGAGTTCCTAGCCAATGGGAAATTGACAATTTTGAGGTCCAAAATGACAAAATTGAAACTTAAGGGACTAAAATAAAAAAGATCTCATACTTTAGGTATTAAAACTGTCTTTTATCCAAGTTTTGATATTTGGAAAAAAGAAAACTAGTTCACCCACTTGGTAGTGCCCAAGAAAACAACCCTTATTTTCTGTATTTTCTTTCGTCACAACTACACAAATTTTTTCATAAATTTAAGATCGAAATACAATCTTAAGATTATCCAAGAAATATCTGATATCCATTCATTTAAATTGTTTTTAGAAATGTTAAAGTTAGTAAGTTGTGCAATCTCTAATGGACCCTAAAAAGGGGATGAATATATCTTATAAGCTTAAAGCTAAACTAAAATGATATCATTTTAGGATGTGTAGTTTAAAATAAAATCGTAATATTTTAATGTCATTTTACTTTAATTTTAATATTATGTTGCTGAATTATGTATTTCACAAACATGTTTTACTATGGTAAAAATCATAACAAAATCATTATTAAAAAAAATGACAATACTATAAAGTTGCAAAATATGAGAGGTACAAACTACTTAAGGATCAAAGATTGTTGATTGAATTAGGTAGTTGGTCAGAAAAAAACTAGTTTGAGAAGAAAAACTATCCAATGCTCCTGCAGATAATTAAAAAAGAATGGCTTCTTTTCAGTCTAAATATGAACTAAAGAATGTTGTTTGAGCACTCAGATTGTCTACCCATTAACATATTGTTATCAAAAATCTGGTTTGGATGGAATCGACAGAAGAAAATCGACAGAGAAACCAGTTTTTACAAACAACAAACACATCAAGCAATTGTGGTTGGTGTCCTATGCCTTGACAGTTTTAAGGACTTCTTTGGAGGTTGTAATGTGAAGAAACAAGTGTAAACAAACTACAAATTGGTAATAAAATTGAAACTTGTTACTTAATTGCATTAATCAAACAACAAACACAATCTTTGTTACACAATCGACAGGAATTAGAAAGGTTACAAGAACCAAAACTAACTGCTAAAAACTACTCCTAAATTAAGGTAATCTACTCCTAAGTTAAGATAGACTACTCCTAGATAAAGAACTCTCATGAGTTTGATGTTTTGCTGATCCCTTTTGATCTTCTCTTCTTTGCCTATTTTTAAGCAAAGTCCCATGGCTTAATTTCCAATTGTTCAAAGGCAGTTTCTTCAATTCACTAGTTGTGTAATGTTTGCCACAAACAGCAACTAACTGCCCATGATCATCATATCAAGCCACATTGGCACTATTTCTCTATGCCCCATGTTGCCCATGACCTGCGATTTGGTGGGTTTGAATGAAACTTACCTACATAATAATAATAATAATAATATGGCCATAATCTTTTAAAAAGATAATTTATGATCTGAATCTACTGATCAAAATCAACAGACCACAATCAATGAGATTAGATTTGCCTATAATCAACAAGCCACAGTCAATAAAATTGGATTTGTTCATAATTGGCAGGCCATAGCTAATTAGATTTGATTTGGCCTATTGACAGGCCAAAATCGACAGAAAAGAAAGTATGGTGTCAACACATATTAAATATTAGGTCAAGTTTTTTATTTAGATCTAATTATGAATTTGTAAATAAGTAGACAAAATCTTAACCATTAATTTAAAAGAAGTAATGTTAGAAATTGGGCGCCCATGTGGCATGACCCTTAGAACCTTTTGAACCTCATCCAAATGGGTTTTGAATTTGAATTCAAACCTATTTGGATAGCCACTCAGGATATATATCTATCATATCATGATATGGATAGATGATATAGATATCAGATATTATCTCATTTAACAAATGGATAAATGAGATAAATAGATTATATATCTGATATATGGGATATGGGTGATTAAGTGGAAAAACAACGTATGTTTGTTTTTTTTCAAGATACTGACTCTCTCCCAAAATAACGATCAAGTCATTTGTACTGTGATTTGTGTGGGTGATATTCAATCTGTGATATCACTTCACTGCTGGGTTGGTTTATCAGTTTCTGGAAGCACGTGATTTATCCACGAGGTTTTAGATCACCTCCAGCTCTGGGGCTATCAGCAAAAAAAAAAACAGAAAAAGTAGCAATCATCAACCAAGGCACTTAAAACTTACAGGACTTAGTTAGAGACAAATATTAGAATGAGAGTCTTTTCATTTCCAAATCCTAACAACCTTTGGTCTCTCCGCAACAAGTTATAAACCCCATTAATATGCAACTTTCAATAACCTAAAATCATAAAGAAACCTATTGTAGCATTTTGGGGTTTTTCCTTGTACTACCCCGGCATTATCCAAAGGAGAAGAGAACATACAATCTGCATAAGGTTCCATGAGGTTCCAATATGATCTAGAAGAACAGAACATAACTTTCATGCCACTAAGTAATTAAGCCAGAATGATGATGGGGAGAAAATGGCAGGTAACCCTCATTTCTATTTATCTAAAATTCTCCCTTTATATTATATGGAATTTTCAAAATATATCATTAATTAATATATGTCCTGCGGACTGCATAAAAGAAAGATTACCTTCGTGTAAAAGGACGCCATCAAAGTAGCCTTGGTGCATAATTTCCCTTTTGCTTCTTTAGTCCTATACTTCTCCTGCAGCACATGAGAATTCAACATATATTTCACATAGACATTATCCTATACTCAAGAACCTAGGAGAAACCTCAACTTGTGTAGAATGAATGTTTTCTTCCAAAAGTTGCCAGCTGTTAGCAATGAGAGCCTGGACTATTTCATCCCCTGTGGCACCCTGTCTTGAATCAAAGCCTATACCATTAAGCCAAAAAATTATACAGAAACCTCCAAAACAGACAAATGATGCTACCAGCCACATAGCATAACATAAATTTAGAGACAATATTTATTTCTGGTTGGCAGCAAAATGAAAGGCCTAATTTTTACAATCAAACTCAAAAAATTATTGGATTGATAAATCATTTATATTTGTTTGTCCAATCTTTTGAATACAGGGGGATTTGGTCAAAACCACCCTCATAATAAAATTTTTAAATGCATTAAGGACAAACACAAAAGTGTTTTTCCTTGAAAAGTCAACATATAACTATTATTATCAAAATATTAAACTTTTCAAATAATATAATTTTTGTCGTAGATGTCGGTTTTTAATAAAATTAGTTATTTTTAAAATTCCTCTTATCAAAGATCTATTAATTTTAAGATCATGTTGATTATGAAATTCTTAAAAAAATAAAAATAAATATAATAATATATAATAAACATAATAAAATAATAATAATAATAATAATTATAATATTATTATTATTATTATTATTATTATTACCGTCAGAATAAATGTAAACAGTAAACAGTACATGTTACTCTCTGACAATATTGTCCAGAAAAAAAATATATATAATTTTTTACTTTGTCTATTCCTTACTCCATTATGTGTTTTCTTCTCGCTTAAGGGTTTAATGAAGCAAAATAAAATTGAGTTGTCCTGTTTCATCAAACAAGGGTCCAATGGATGGGTTTTGGCTAAATTTTTCCTTGATTCTAATACCCCCATCAAAATTGAAGAACTATTCAGCAATTCAAGCACCAAAAATTTTCTCTTCCATCAGAATTACCGAAACAAAAAGATGTGACAAGATGCAAGATATATGTGGCACCTATTTCCAAGAAAATATATTGGTAGAATGAATGAACTTGTTGCTTTTTTTGTAGATAGAAAAAGAACTTAAACATACATGAGAGCCCCTTTTCCCATTTACTTCTTTTATGATTAGTTGCTGGCGTATTGACTAAGAAATCTATATATTATTTCACATAAAAAAGATAAACTAACATTGTTAAATCTAATATGCATTTACACACCAACAAAAAGCCATGGCAATTCCCAATGGAAGCCAAACATCCAAACTCATGCCATTTCCAAACTTAAGAAATCACATTAGTAGGAGGCCTTACTGCGTGTGACGCTCCTCATGCATTAAATTAAAATATAGATAACACACAATATTCTCTAATGGAACAATTCAAGAAGCTGCAGACTCCAAATGTTTGTACAAAGTAATTTATCCGACAACTAACATCTCCTAAAGATTTTAAACATATGGCATGGACAATCATAAAAATGCATAATAAATAAACAAATAAACAACCATACACAATGCACATATTGCAAATTATACAAATTGACAAACAACATTCAAACAAAAATCATCAACTGTGTTGTGTTCCAATCTGCCAAATCTTTAGGCGTTGTGTAAAATGCAATGTTAAATATGTGTTTTGCACAAGGCCCTTTAATTGAAAATGTTTGCATAACATACCAACTCGCATCTCACTTATATCTTTCACCAGTGAGACTTTGGGCAGTAATTATTATCAACACAATCCTCGTTGTCTTTGCACTCGTCGTTAATTTGGCAATCCCCCCCTTTTCTTTCAACATTATCACCTGAATATAAATTCCGCAAAGACATCATTAATTTAAAACCATAATGCAAAGAACGAAGAAAAGGGGTCACAACTGGCAACAAAAAAACAAGTTGGAATAGATCTGAAAAATAAAAAATAACACAAAATACAATTTGCATAGAAAGTCTAACAAATAATGGCATTAAATTTGTCAAGCTATGCACAACAAATAAGCATAAGAGGACAAAATGTGAATCATTGTCTGTATTATAAAAAAACATAAGTAATAGTAAGCACGAACAAAACTCTAATTT